CCTGCATACTATTTTTGGCTTACTTAGAGATATGAAAATACGATATTAATGATCATTTAAACGTTTTTTATGAATTGATCTCAATTATGGGAATATTACCTACATTTTGTGGTTACCATGGCCCGGCGGCATATTTACACATCCTCCTATATGACGGCACCGGAGTGCTAAAACCTGTTCGCCTTTGTAGACTACAAGTACGCTACAAAATCTCATTGATTTAGACACCCATACAAATTTTATGTTATGTAAGACTTTACTTTTCAATTTTAGCTGTGTCCAGGCCGTTTGGCGTCTATGCCGGTAGGCGTAGCCAGGTATTGGTTAAAACGAGAAGTCGTTGCTTCGTTTTATTCTTGTATATTTTCTTTTTTTTTAATCCCAAAACGTTTTTCAAATGCGTCATTTGAGTGACATCATGTCTATTAACGGCATTTTAGTACAGCCATTGTTTCATAGAATGCAGATAAGCTTGCTTACTGATTCCAGCAATAAGAGAGGCCTCATGCATTGGTGCCTAAATCAATGAGCTTTTGTAGCGTACTTGTAGGTTACAAAGACGAACAGATTTCAGCACTCCGGTGCCGTCATATAGGAGGATGTGTAAATATGCCGACCAGGTGGAGAATTACAAACTTTCAAATATCTCGAAAACGGTTAATATTTTAAAGATCAAAGAAGTACAACTTTTTTATACAAAAATGATAAGCCTTTCTAAATGTAATACGTAAATTGTTAATTAATGAAGGACTTTCTTCTCTTCAATATGGCGTATGTGGCGACATCCACGAGATAACTCAAATATAATTACATAATCTTGTTTGCCTCTATAAAAAATAGAACTACCCCAATTTTCAAACCTGTTTCTCAAAAAATGGCTTCTTTATTAACAAAAATATATATATTTTTCCCACTTTAACAGCCTGTAGATCAAAAAGGAGCAATCTCAGATCCATCGTTGTTGAGTAAAATATTATTATTTTTGCCTTCCGAATCTACGGTTACAATTTGACCCATTACTTATGACTCACCCTATATATTAACCTGGGCCAATATTTCAAGTATAGCGTGGGGTGTCCCATCTTTTGGAGGAGATGTCAAGTCCCGAGTCGTTAAAAATCACTACCTATTGTTGGAACACCATTGGATTCGGCTAAATTTCAGGTATTTGGGAGTAGCATGCTCACCAGCGTCGGCGTATAAACCTCGTAGTTAGAAATAGGCGATGTTAAATATATTAATAAAAAACACTGAGGTAATGGCTTTCCTAAGTAATAATTCGGTAAAATAAGATAATTCTGAGCTAAAATAAATTAACATAGGAATGCTGCAAAACTGTGTACTGTAAATTAAGAAAAAATTAAATCCGACATTTGTATTTTTGCATAAATAATTAGCTACACGCGACTTTTTTCTGCATGTACAAATTAGAAATATATAGGTACATCTATTCTGCATAATAAAAAAATTTAAAAAAATTATTTATCTCAAAAAACGATTATAAAATTTATGAATTTGAAATTCCCGCAAAAACGCATTTTACTCGGATATCAATCGAGTGACGTCACTATGCTTGTTTACATGTAACTGTCAGTCAATCGTGTTTATTTGTGTATTGAGATTGTGGCATTGTTCCTTTGGTTTCGTAAATATTTTATAAATTATTACTAAATAAAAATCGTTAAAATGGCGAGTGTTGTTAACAAAGGACCATATAAATACTGTTTAGTTCCTGAATGTAAATCTGCAAGTCTTAGAACTCCGGATAAAATATTTGTTTCTCTACCAGCAGCAAATACCAAACAAAAATACAAGCGCAAACTATGGCTGAATGCAATGGGAAGAAATGAAAATGATTTAGCTGAAAGTACAAGAGGCCATGTCTGTGAAAATCACTTTAATGTTAGTAAATAATGATATATTATTAATGTTGTTTTGTATATATTATAACTGGGTACTATTTTACTATTTTTGTTGTAGTTTGAAGAAGATATGGTGAATTTTGTAAAATATAAGTTAGTAGGAGGCAACATATATTTGAAGGAGCATGTTGTACCGCACATTTTCCAATGCAAAACTGGTAGAAAACGCCCTCCAGAAGAAAAAGAATTTGAAGCTTCTGCCAAAAAAGCAAGACAAAATATTGTAGAATCTCTGCTGATGGACAATGCAAGTGAAAATATCACAGATGAAAATGTTTTGAGAAAGAATACATTTGAAAAATGTACACAAACACAAGTAACAGCGGTTAAAGATTTTGGTGCACAAGTGCTGATTAGACCTTACTACAGAAGTAAACTAATTCAAACTGAAGAACTTTATTTTAAACCTCAAGCTGTAAGTGTTGCATGTTCGTCTTTTAAATTTGAAATCTCAGAAGAAAGAATTTCACCATCTAAAGAAAGTTCGAGCAGTGATGTAGCCCATAATGAAACTGACTCTTATTCTTCTACTTTTATCAGTGACTTAAGCCCATCAAGTAGTGAAATAATATATGTGGAAGATGATGTAAAAAATGATAGGATTAAGTCAATATCTTTGGAGCGGTCATGTTTTTTAGCCATTAAAAATAGTAGATTTTATTTAGGAATTCCTGAAAGTGAATTTTACATAATTCCTCTTTTAATTAAATTTACAAAATTGTCACAAATTTCCATTTTTATAACTTTAAAAAAAATTAGAACCAATTTACCATTTGAACATTTAGGAGATGATTTTGGTTTATCTTCAAGCCAAGCAGCAAAAATATTTCAAAAAAGTGTTCCACGTATAAGTGCATGTTTAAAACAATTGATAGTCTGGCCACCACACATTAAATTTTTCTTACCAATTGCATTTCGAGCCAACTACAACAATGTACAAAGCATCATTGACTATTATGAAATTGAGATTGAAAAACCTTCTGATCCAGTGCAACAAGCTGGTACATGGTCTGAATATAAAAAAGCGAACACTTTAACATTTTTAATTTCCTCTACTCCAGATGGCCTAATAAATTATGTTTCTGGTGGTTTTGGGGGCGTACCACAGATGTTACTATTGTAGAGAAAAGTAATTATTTAAAAGTATTGCCTCGAAACTCTTGTGTAATGGCAGATAGAGGTTTTAAGGGTATAGATATTGTACTCATGTCATTGAACAGTGTTCTTTTAAGACCTCCCAGTGTCAAAAGTGGGGTGAAAAGTACAAAGGCTGAAGTCTTAGAAACTAAAAGAATTGCAGCTTTACGAATACACATTGAAAGGGTAATTCGTAGAGTAAGGGAATTTAAAATTTTAAAACCACATTCATGTGTAAATAAAAAAATGATAAAATATTTAGATCATATGGTACTAATTGTCTGCGGTTTGGTTAATTTACAATCTGCTCTGATTAAGACTTAATTTCATATTACTTGGAGCTGTATGTATAATTGTAAATAAAATGTTGAATTATTTATATTCAGGGTATCCCATAAGTCATGAATTAAATGAAGTAATGTTATTTGTAAACTGAATTACCATATATGTTAGATAATTATTGATATTTTCCATTTTTACCTAAAACCGCTTAATGCCTCAACAAAAACGTGGAGAAAAATGCACAATTAATAATGTACCTCTCAAATAAAAGTAAAATGTATATTTTTTTAAATTTTAATACACTTACTTAGAGAAAAAATATATCTTTTTAAATATGTCAATGTACTTAATTTGTTTGTTATTTTGTATGCAAACAATCATCTTACTCTATAAATAATTGATCGTTTCCTGTATACTCCTATTTTTAAAACCACAGAAAAGAATCCCCAATTCCAAAGCGATTGGTATTGCCCAATTAAAAAATTAAATATATTAATTTATATCTTCCTTGTAGGTAGTATTTGAAGTGCTACAATAGTAGTACTGTAATATGTTTGACTTTTAACTATTAATTTTTCTATATAACAATGAGAAGGTATGTTCCTTGTTTTTTTTTTTTTTAATAAAGCAATAAAAATGTTTCTCTTATTTACTTTATCCTTTTAATAAGGGCCGACTTTTCACCTCTGAGTAAAGTTACATATTGGTTTATTTAACAGATTTTCGAACAATAGCACTATAGTTTAATCAGCAATTAGTTACTTTTAACTTTACTCAGAGGTAAAAAGATTGGCCCTAAGAAATATAACAAATACAGTAAATCATCATTTAAGACTAAATGTCAAATGTTATTTACATTTTCCCAAAAATGACTAGTATTTCGAAGAAGAAATTTTTTATAGTATATAATTTAGTTGTTCCTATATTTTGCTGTACAAGGGCACAAAATTATATTAAATGACCATTATAGAAGATTATTTTCAAATTTATTTTATTACTTTATAAATTTAGTTACTTTTCTTCAGGTTTTTTTTATTCAGGAAGGTAAATGTGAAGAATAATACATCATAAGACAGTAAAACATATATTTATATTAATTAACAACAATCAATTTGATGACCTTAACAATTTTTGAAAAAGTTTTACCTTCCAAAATTCTCTTGCTCGTTTTACTATGTCTGCACAATAATTTTGATCAAAATCTACATTGACAGTAGTAATTATATTTGTAGTCTCAAAATTGGGATCAGCAACACAAAATAAACATTTCTTCAACCCTGCGAAAAACATTTGTAGCTGAACTTGAGCGTTACACCTTGCACTAATTTGTCCACTTCTTAAAATATAATTTTTTAAAGTTTTCTCAGATGATGGACATTTTATTTCCTCCACGCAATCTTCTATAATACCATCTGGTGATGCACCTAGTTCAGGATATTTTCCGTTGAGAATTAAACCAACACCTTGAATTTTTTTCTGCATCTTTCTTTCCAATTCTTTTTTGACAGCTGCTTCAAGAACTTTGCCCCGCTTCATACTTTTTGTCTCAGTTAATTTTTGAGCACCAAAAATACTATTTATAAAACTTCCATCGTCTTTGTGGCAATGAATGGCATCATAAATTTTAGAAGCTGTAATCCGCCCATAACGCAGTTCATGTTATTCATGGCTAGCACTTTGATCTTTTGTGTCTTTAACAATTATAGAACAAAGCTCATCCGTCATAGTATTTTCAGCCAAACTTAAAAAATGTACATATGTTTTACCACCACACTTTTGGAATTCACTTAACAGTTTATGTAGCCCCAAATGTGTTTTATCTTGATCGGGAGAGAAGCTTTTATAGTATTTTACCAATTGATTATTTGACTGTACCTCTTTCCCTTTAGAAACAACAACATCTAAGAAGCCAGCATAAACCTGAGAATCAAAATCAGGTGTTACACCAAAATTGTCCGTTTTAATAATAGTTGATTTTGCTGCAGATAACACTGGTTTTTTCCAATAGCATTCTATGGATGTTGGTGATGGCTGGGTACTTTTTTTGTGAACCCACATTAGAAATGCAAGGGCATGTTTGCAACCTCCCTCTGCTGCACTACAGTCGAAGCACTTAACTGTGTCAACAACTTCTCGCTCTTCATCCACAATCATGATGATTTTATAATTTTTAGTTCTAACGCGATGTTCGGGACATATTTCACTTGTCACTGTGCATTTATTTTCTTCGCGTTTTAACTGTACATAGCCTACTGCACTTTCGATATAACTCCCTCTCATTGACCTAAAAGTAAAATAACTTATATTTAACTAATTAGTAAAAATATGGTATTATAAATTAGATTAGACAATAAATAAAGCACTTTTAATTAATTCAATAAAGCTTTTTCTGACATGTTCCTATTTAGGTTCATCTTTTATGACAAAATAGTCTTGATTGGTTGAATTACTGATAAAACAATATTCAATGTATAAATTAACTTTGCCCCAGTAGGTATGTACTTACCATTCTGCCTTTAATCCTCTTATTTCATTTTGGATAAAACAATCATTGAATTTTATGAACTCCATAAGCATAAAACTGTCTACTACTGGTAAATTGTCACTTTGTGCTTGTACAAAAGCCATAGTGATTAACAAAAAACACAATTATTGTTCCCTAAATACAATATTCTACAATACAAATTTAACTTCGACACAACAAAACAATTAAAAACAACAACAGGTTAGGTTTTATAAAACGTCAATTCTCAGATGTAAACAAAACTAATGACAATAGAGCATAATTACGTCACAGCCGATTCGGAAATATTCGGGTAGTGGTCGGATTATTCAAATTTAATTGATTTTTAATTAATAAATTAAAAGTAAATAATGAGTTTTAAATATCCTGTTGAATTAGAGGGCCATATATTAACATAATTTATCTTATAAGACAGTAATTAGAGGATTATCTCACTGTCGCGTGTAGCTGATTATAACGTAGACATCCACTAAGGCTAGTGTAATATTAATACCTGTTTTTATTGAAAGATAATTCGATTTTCAGCCTACATTGTTTCAATTTAAATTAGATTTAATATAACATCTGTGGACACGGAGCTTTCAGCAAAAGTTTCATTTTGTGTAGCCGTGTTTAATTTGTTAGAAAAATCAAAAATCAAAACCATCATTCAAATTCAACATGTTTAATTCTTTTGTTTTTGTTCGTAGGTAAATGAATGGATTTCTGAAAACATTTGAAACTGTTTTATTTTACAATTGTCGTAAATAAATGTAATTGAACAAGGTAAAATTTTACAGAAAAATGGCCTTTTTTAAATTCTGATATAAAAAATAATTCAAAATACCAAAAATGCAGAAACGTAAGTATTATATACGTATTTAGTTGGAGATCTGGCAAGATTTAGGGGCCCTCGTAGATCGCGTGCTGTAGAGCTGCAGAACTGCGAAGAAATTATTTTAGACATTCTTAAATATACGTAAAGTAAATTTCATGGATATTCTCATTAATTTTAATTTAATTATAATTATCAAACAGTATCTTTAGCACGCGAGTATTCTACTGACAGTTCATAGCTGAAAATAAGTCCAGAGTGACCAGTGGAAAATTTATTCATCTCTTAGCTGGGTCGCTTCGGGACGGTCTGTGCACCGGTTGCCCGCGATTATCGTCTTACCTTCCCTGGGCTCTCTACAATATAACGCCGTGATACGTAGTGTTTGTCTTTCATTTTTGCCTGAGTGCGGTGTGCTTTTGTGAGATTATTAGTTTTTGTCAATTCACAAGCGCACATTTGCATTGTACATGAAAGACATGGATGTAGTTTATAAGGCAAAAATTGATTTTTATAAACACCCCTATAAGTTTGCTGATAAAAACAACCACTGAAAGTATAAAAAGTAAGTAAATTAAAGCTTTAAAATAATAATTGCTTTTTGGGGGTAGAGCAATCTTGCAGAATACGCAATGTCAGTTACCATGAGCCAAAACTGGAGGTCCGTCCACACTATGACAGGCTTCTGGTTCTTATACAGTGAATCAGGGAGTCTGTGTGGCGCTTAGATGGTGATTTCAGAATAGGGGTTGCTCGGGCGTCAGTTTTGGTAACACAGTTTGCTCTGCAATCTTGTAGTACACCAGAGTATACTCAAAATAAACTCAGTGGAGTTAAAAATATTTCCAGGTGGTCACTGCTAACGAGGTAGCCACTAAATTAGAATTAAAAACACTTCTTCTTTACATCTCGTACCCTACGGTACTCTTAAAGAAAACGGTTAAAAACCAGCAATATGAGAAACACAGGAGTAAATCATAAAATATATTTAAAAGAAATACAAGTAGTGCGCGGTATCGGCACGCTTGTATACCGGAAATAAGTTCTTACGGATCAAAATTATATACAAGAATTAAAAATTATAAGAACATAGTTGGGGATTCCCCTGTATACGGAAAATAAATAAAATTAAAATTATTACAATTAAAAACTACAGGAAAATAATTGTGGTTTCCCCTGTATGCGAAAAATAAATAAAATTAATTATTACAATTTAATAAAATTAAATTCGTCCTAGAAAGCAAGTTAAAATAAGTATAACAGTTCGATAGCACAGGAGGCTAATCGGTCCGGAAATTATAAAGCTCTTGTATACAGAAAATGAATTTTTAGTAATAAAAATTAAATATGACGGTAATAAAATATAAGGAAGCAATTGAAATAAAAGTTATAGAACATCCTGTATAAAGAAAATAAATTTTAAATATACTTAATAATAAATAAGACTAAAATTTCCACTAAATGAAATTAAAGTAAATATTACCTTTCACTAATACCGAAAAATATTCAAGCCGGAAATTATGTACATTACGGTATGCAGAAAATAAATTTTACCCAATAAACAAAACTTAATTAAATATTCTGGTCTAAATGATAAACGGTAATTAATTAAAACGGAGTAATTAATTTTAATAATACGGCTGACTAATTGAGAAGATCCAAAATAAAAGAAAACGGGTAGCTACGACACTCCCTATATTAGAAAAATGAAGTTTACTATAACTAAAATTAAATCATATACAGAGTGGCCCAAAAGTCTGGAAACAGCCAATTATCTCGTAAATTGCTAGTCCTAATTGTACAAAATTTAGGGTACACCTATTTTGGGATACGCTGATTCCAAATTTGATATTTGCAATGTTGCCAGATTTACCGTTTCTCTTAAATTATTAGTCACTTTGGTTTTTCAAATTCATCACCCTGTATATTTAGTCATTATTAGAATCTCCTATTCAATACGAGTTCAACGATATGTAACACTTTATGATTTTATGTAGTCTGGAAGGTCTTAAAAAATAAAATAAGTCTGGCAACGCCTAATTGTCTCAATAAATTTTTTAAAACAAACTATTTTCAACTACAAAATTAACAAAATGGTTACTTTATCAAGTGTTCAAAATGTGTTTCGTTTGTGAGTTGACAGTACCCTAATCGATGGTAGAATGCGTCTACCACATTTCTCCATGATTGTTTTATTTTTTTAAGACCTTCCAGACTACATAAAATCAGAAGTATTACATATGGTTGAACTCGTATTAAATAGGAAATTCCAATAATGACTGAATATACAGGGTGATAAATTTGAAAACCAAAGTGAATAATATTATAAAAGAAACGGAAAATCTGGCAACATTGCAAATATCAAATCTGGAATCTCCGTATCCCAAAGTAGGTGTATCTTAAATTTTGTACAATTAGAATTAGCAATTTACGAGATAAGTGGCCGTTTCCAGACTTTTGGGCCACTCTGTATAATGTTTGTACAGTACAGGCAAACACTACTATTAATTTAAATAAAGATTTCGGCACCTTTCCCCCCCGTATTTTAGTTCTAGTCGTGATCTGATTATCGGCGATGGTCCGACATCGAGAAATAATTACAATATCTACCACGGCGTTTAGACGAAATCATACGATGGAAGATGTAATAATTATTTTGAGATTTGCCAATATCGATCAAAGCGGTGCGTGAAATAGAAAAGATAGAATACGTCGGGATTCTTTCAAAAATTAATTGGTGACGAGAAACGGAATGATTCAAATAAAATTTGTATAAATAAATAAAAAGAAACTTACACGAAGTGAGGCGCAATAATTAATTTAGATCTCTTTTAAGGAAATTAGATAACGTCATCGAAATTGAGAGAATTCACGATTCGAGAACGAATCGAATCTTCAAAAAAGAAAATAAATTGGGCGGATTCCCAAAGATAATAAAAAAAACGAAAACGGGTTGAACCTCTCACTCCAGCATTAATTGGGCGTTTCTTAAAAGAGATTGGGTAGAGTCGTCGAAATTGAGAGCACTTAAAGTCAAGCCTAAATCCAGCCTCAAATAAAAATTGCCAACGGTTTCCCACTGAGGGATGAAACGAAAATAAACTGAATATGAATCAAAATTCTTACACTTATTGGACGGATGTCCCAAACTAATTTTAAAATGATAATCAGACAATTTCTCACCTTAGAAAACGGGAATAATTCACTGTTAAATTGGATCTAACAAATTTTAACGGCACGGCAACTAATACTGAAATTCACAGATACGTCGCTGGTCGGGAACAGAAGAGGAGCCTACGGTGGCTGGGAACCAAAAAGAGCAAATAGACAAGCTCGAAGTGCGGCAATTCGAAGTGGGAGATACCACCACTACATCCGAATGTTTACTATTTTAAAATATAAAAAATGCCCTACTAGCACCTTCATAAATACAAAAAGATAATTGATACGAAATTGAATCTACAAATGCCCATTCGAATTGCGATAAATATAAAAATATGTTAACCTACGAGGGTACTCGCAATTGCTTAAAAACGAGAATTCCTTGGAAACACAAATACCGGCAACTTCGACATGTCTTCAGGCGGGAATTAATTAAAATATACATTTTTAAAATAAATTAAAAATAAAATTTAGTGACTTTGTCACAACCCATTAATTTATTGTCCACCATATGTGTGTTTCCTGTAAATTTATCAATTATATTGTCCAGATTTAAACATTTTTTCTTTTACATATTAAATTAATTAGTTATTGAATTAAAATGTTTAATTTCATATGAAGTTAATAATAAATGTGTTCCAATTTCACTTCGATTTCGATGTGTAAATCATAATAAAAATTATATTCAAAACATTAAATTGGTGATCGAAAATGAAATAATATTTTTTAAAATAAATATATTTTCGAGATGATTTTCAAAGATGTCAGCTTTTTGTTTAATTAATCTTGTCCAGTTTCTGTTGTCTTCTTTTATTGGTGGTATGTGAACTATTGGAAGTTTAAGCAGGGCCGACTAGAGGGGGGGTAGCCGGGACTAATTCCCGGGGCCCGGACTCAAATGGGGGCCGGCAGCGGTATAAAGGGGGCCCGACAACTGAATTTTTTTTGTTTTGTATGAGAAATTCGACACAAGAAGAGAGGGGGAAGTTTTTTTTTTTAGAAAAAGCAATTGAAGCAGAGGAAGAATTGAGGATTTTTTTTAGAAGAGGAAAAGTTTTTGTTTGAAGAGCTGTTTTTCGTCACGGGGCCCGATCTAGAGAATTGTCCTGGGGCCCGGCCTGGCTTTCG